TATATAATATACAAAAGTCTGATTGTATGCCTAGTGTAATCGCGTTCGCGTATTTAACGTTGTATTGATATAATTGATATATATATAAATTATATATATATATATATTATATATATTCATATAGACTTAGATTTATTGGTGTGTTTTTAAATTTGACATTATCGATTTCCAATTACAATAATTTATATGTAATTTTAAATATTTTGACCGGAAGCTGTTCTTACCGAGCCAACGTAATGCAGCGTGCGTTTGTTAAGGAGCGAGGAAGATCATACTACTCATGAATTACTATACATAGCATGATACAGTACATTAACATTACATACATACATACATACATACGTACGTACGTAGTACGCAGCACGCACGCACACACACACACACACACACACACAATACATAATACTACGCAAGCACGCACGCGACTGCACGCACGCCACGCACGCCACGCAACGCACGCACGCAGCCATACATACTTAATACATTACATACATTACATACATACATACATACATTACGATACATACATACATACATACATACATACATTACATACTACATACATACATACATACATACATACATACATACATACTATACATACATAGGCGAACCGGGGCAAAAGTGGACCGTAAGAAATGTTGGTTGGCCAAAAACGCTGTGCAAAGAGCGAGACAAAGTGAATGTTGGCTCTAATCGTTGGCTTAGGACAAGAACTAACAGGCCGGTACAATCAAGTTAATTTAAAAAACGACTTTATTGAAATATACAAATTAATAAATTTATAAAATATTTCATTTTTGCCCCAGACTTCCGGGGCAAAGTGAAACCTGTTATAGGACAAGCAGTGGAATGTCATTTTACTCCATGTGATTGTGTAAAAAAATCCTCTTTCTAGTGTCTAAACTGCTGAACATCAAATTCATAGTTTGCGTACCATTTTGCCTAAAATATGAAAGAGAAAATGCCATTATGGGCGCTATATAGCAATAATTAGGTCTACGGGAAGACACAGATTATGCCAGATGTTACGAGTTAGGTGTTTAAAATGCATGCAAAGACAACATAGGCCTACCTGCTACTGAGGTACTAATTAATGATCATAATAAATATCTGTAATAATGATATACATTAGGCCTATCAATATGGCCGGGCAAGCTGGAACCCTGCTTCCACGTTGTGCCCCATCCACTTTCCCCGAACACGTGATGTTTCTAGACACGTTGGCGTTACGCTGAGTTGCAGGACAACTACGCAAAGAAGTCATCATCATATGGCACACATAGGCCTTAGATTCAACAAAATAGCCTACCATATAGAATTCCACAAAGATCACGGTGATTATACGCACAATGAATTCATTTTAAAGAAATATCCGTTTAAACACATAAAAAACAGACTTTCGTCCAAAAAAAATGTACATAGCTGATTCATGCAAATGGCATCCATCAAAAACGATGCATCATCAACTGAGCCTTCTAAGGAAAACAGTCACAGATAGATGGGGGCATCAACATAGATCTGCTGAGACAATTCCACTTTGCCCCGTGTTCCGCTTTGCCCCGGGTTCCCACTTACATTACATACAATACATACATACATAATACATACATACATACAACATACATACTACATACACTTAATACTACTACATAATACATACATACATACGATACATACATACATACATACATACATACATACATACATACATACATACATACATACATACATACATACATACATACATACATACATACATATCTCGACTACTCAGTCACGAGACGGTCTCTCGCGCTTATTATTTATGTAACCGTAATTTCTTCGGCAACGGCGGATTCGTTTTGGCGCCGGCGCCGTGACAATGGTGAGGTTGTTTAGAGTTCTCCCTCGGTAATGAAACGCGAGAATGCGCGCACAATACGTATTCATCGCGACGCGCACTGACGGGAAGAATGGCACGAAGAGCGTCAGAATGACTTCGTTTCACGCCTTTTCCAGATTTTCTCTCCAGCAGTGTGATTAACTTGCTGCCGCATCGCGACAGTAGAGAATGGCCGTTGCGCCGAGCTAGATTAAACTATGATTAGGTCCGAATAATGTCGCTTTATTAAGAACTTCCAAATCCTAGAGTGCGATGACGTGATACCTTGCGATGTGCGATGGAGAAATCCGCACCTATAATACGTTGAATACTATAGGCTTACGATTTAGTTTATGAGGGAAATTGTTTACTCGCAATATCGTTTTTATACAATGAACCACGTTCTTTATTGTCTACAGAACAGATATCGTACGTATACGTACGTACGTGTATATATATATATATCTTAATCCTACCATATGTAGACATCGGGTGTAAAAAACCAGCCGTTATGTAGACAGATTCGTTAGGTAGACATATTTGCTGCCTACCTAATGTTTAGCATGCTATAATTTCGTTTTCTTCATGAAACAAAGCTCAGCACAGATTCCCAAATCCACGTCACGATTAGGCCACGCCCCTTTCAAATCGTTGATTTTACTGGATTGCTTCAAAAGTTACAAAAACACATTTTTTTGATCAAATACCTAAAGGTAAGGAATATTATGGTAAAAACTTATTGTTTATTGTTTTTTTTACAGAAAAAATATAGTTGGGTTTACATAAGAATTATATGACCGGACGCGTAGCCTGGGACCTGGTGGTCAGGTAACCGGACGCGTAGCCTGGGACCTGGTGGTCAGGTAACCGGACGCGTAGCCTGGGACCTGGTGGTCAGGTAACCGGACGCGTAGCCACGGCCTAATAAGAAACATTGTGGATTAATCTCGTGCATGTTAACGTATAAGACGTGTTAAACACGCATGGATATAACCACTTAATCGTAATCGATAAATTGCGCGGAAAGATATTAGCGACTATAACAGATTAATGACGTGAATAGCGATCGGTTTTATATACCATTTGATATATTTCTCGTGATAGGTCAATTAGCGCACTCTTAACAATTACAGAAGATAAAAAAAATCCACAATCGCGTCACAATCATATTACGTAGTCACATATGATTACAAACATGTTTACATACGTGACGAGCATGATACAGACATAAGCAATTAACAATGCTATATGATTCCGCCGATGCTATTTCATCAAGAGCCGGCATTTTGGTACCAAATGTCGCACTTACCGTCTGGTGATGACTATTAACAGGAGCGGATTATACAAATGTGTGTCGCATGAAGTATGTTTACTCTCGATAATGATATAGTTTAACGATACTGCTAACGCCAGACTAACTAATAATGATCATCTTACTGCTTACTAACGTCAGACCAAGAGCACGCGAATAGATCATCTCTTTGCATGTACTCTCAATCGTATACTGAACCTAGCGTAAATAATAAGTGATTATCATCATGCTCGTGATTATTATTTAGGCGCGCTTGTGTTTACCCTTCGGTGACACATACGCGTTGTAGAAGAACTGCGCGAACAGGACGAAGTAACTAGTGTACATAAGCAGAGCGACGTAGTTAACGCTAGCCGGACTGTCGCAGCCGACGACGTTGGCGCTCAGGTACAACTCGGCGACGGCGACCGTCATGCCGACGCACATCTGCGTCAGCTGCAGCGTCGTGATGACGACGCTGACGCGGCGCGGCAGCGTCACGCCGGCGGCCCGCAGCGCGTAGTACGAGTACATGACGCCGTGCACGCATAGATTCATCGTGCAGAACCAGCGGCCGGACCCGTGCGCAAACTGGTACGCCCACCAGCAATACATGAGCACGGTGACGTGGTGGTACCAGTGCAGGAAGATCAGCTTGCTCTTGCGCAGTACGACGAACATCGTATCGGTCAGCTCGGCGGCTTTCGACAGCGTGAACAGCACGACCCACAGCCCCGACGCGCTGTCCACATAAGTGTTGACGCAGACGGAGTATTTGAGGCCGTACGTAGCGATGACGTACGCCATCTCCGTGCACGCTCGCATCGCTCCGACGATGCTGAACGTCGCCAGCAACGTGTTCCATGCGATGAGAGCTGTTCGCAGCTTGTAGCCGTGACGGCCGTGCATCCAGCGCTTCAGGTAGAAGACGGTGCCGACGTAGACGGCTGAGAGATAGACGGAGTAGTGCCAGTTCTGCCGCAGCCAGGCCAGCATCGGACTGTCTTTGTATCGGTACGATTTCTCGACGTCGAAGAGAAATCCGTATTCTGGGTTGTAGACGTCGGTCGGCCAGGAAGCATTCATGATGTTGTCGGTGGCCATGCTTACACGTCCTCGTCGCACGAGCAGTGACTATATATCGGCGCTGCGGTGAATGTGCAGGTTGCTTTATACAGCAGGGCGCTCTTGATTCGTGAACAACGTGTCGCCTAATCTGATAGCGTGTCTTGGGCACACAAACCAATCATGCACAAACCTATCAGGCACATGCACCGAAGAGGGCGAGAGTGAGAGAGATGAGAGAGTGAGAGAGAGAGAGAGAGAGAGAGAGAGAGAGAAAGAGAGAGAGACTGCCCCCGCATCGAGCGCTACACACGCCCCGACAAGAGCGCGGCTCTGATTGGCTGTAATCAGCAGCGCAGACGATACATAAGGCTGATCGGGGTTTGATTGACGCACAAAGCTGACAGAGCGCTAGTTAAATTGTGTCAAGGGACGCTGTGGACACAGAGGTTGCAGTTAGGCCTCTATGGGCACGGAGGCTCGCAGTGAATTCGGTAACCAGCTCAAATAGATAACAAATATATCGGACGAGATATATATTGAGATGGATAGATAGTACCATTAAGAACTTGGAGTTACACACACAAATAATTGTTGTAACGCGGTAGACCGCGAGAAGAATCTCTACGAGTGATTATAATTTTGTAAAAGGAAAAATAGTGTACCGTGATTGTTAAAACACAGACTTTCGCATACGCGAAATACGTAGGCGCACAATTCTCATTACTGGTGAAATCTGTCAATGAAAGCGCTCGGACTGACGAAGAACCACGTTAGACCCATCTGTATATCCCGTCACCGCAGCGTTCGTTGACGCCTCGTGTATACGTCACGTGACTCGTGTGGCAGACGGTTTGTGGCGCAGGCGGAGCGGCATCTGCTGTGTAACATGTCGTGGTCGGAATTCGCCGCTATGCTCGATGATGACGATGACTAGAATGGAAATGAATTTGTCGCACGGAAGCTCTCCGATCACGCCACGTAAGTATAAGCGTAGCCATGCGAGCGATATCGCCGTTACGATGACGTATATGGCGACCGTAACATACGTACGTACGTAGCTGTCTGTCGTTGTTTCGTGTGATGTGTCAGCCAGCGACCTGACCGTCAGGTGTTGGATCTGCCGACAAAAGAACAACGGCGGACTGGTAGAGACGTGCGTCGTCCATTGATAAGAGTAAGCAGCCGCCGTACACGTGTTATCATGTGCAGCAGCAGCAGCAGCAACAGCAGCAACAGAGTAGTAGTAGTAGTAATATGTAGAACTCGTTGTAGCAGCGGCGCGGCGTGGCGGAGCAGCTGCAGTAACTGGCATCACCACAGCAAAGTAGCAATAATAGCAGCAGCAGCAGCAACAGCGAGCAACTACGGTGGCGCAGAATGCTCACCACAAATGCAAATCCCACAACACAAATGCAAATCCCGCAACACAAAATGCAAATCCGCGCAACACCAAATGGCAAACGTCACAACACAAATGCAAAATCCACAACACAAATGCACACGTCACAACACAAATCAAACGTCACAACACAAATGCAAATCTCACAACACAAATGCAAACGCCACAACACAAGCAAACGCCACAGACGCAAATGCAAACGCCACAAACACACGCAAACTCCACAACACACGCAAACTCCCACAACGCAAATGCAAACCCCCACACACAAACTTGCAAATACTGCGGCTGCCCGCGCGCCGCCTGTACTGTTTGACTGGGCGCATTGTATCAGGAGTAATATCAGGATATCTTACTCCTATCACACCTACTCCTGATTGTATACAGCTGTTAACCCCTCCCACTCCGCACACACGCCTACTACACGCTATTGGCCGTAAGACAGCTGTAGAGCAGAGAGGGCGGACGAAAGCTGGTGGAGGAAGGCAGCAGAGCCGAGAAGGGAAGCTGGTGAGGAAGAGGAGGAGAAGCTCGGTGGCAGGAGAGGAGGCGGGAAGAAGGCGAGAACTGGTGGAGGAGATGGGCGAGAAGGGAGAAGCTAGGTAGAGAAGGAGGAGGGGAGAAAGCTGGTTGGAGGAGAGAAGGGGGAGAGGCTGGTGGAGACGGAGAAGGCGAGAGCTGGTGAAGAGGGCGGAGAAGCTGGTATGAGAAAAGGAGCGGAGGAAGCGGTGAGGAGAGGAGGGAGAAAGACTGGTGGCAGGAGGCAGGAGGGGGGAGGAGAACTGGTAGAGTAAGAGGGCGGAGCCGTGGTGGGAAGAGGAGGAGGGCGAGAGCAAGGGGAGAAGCTGGTAGAGTAAGTAGGAGGGGGAGAAGTCGGAGAACTGGTGGAGGAGGAGGGGAGAAGCGAGATAGCTGGTTAGAGAAAGGAGAGGGGGAGAAAGCTGGTGAGAAGGAGGAGGGGAGAAGCTGTGGAGCAAGGAGGAGGGGAGAAGGGAGAAAGCTGGGAGGAAAAGGAAGGAGAAGCTGGTGGAGCAGGAGCGAGGGGAGAAGTGAGAAGCTGGTGGAGCGAGGAGGGAGAAGGGAGAAGCTTGTAGAGAAGTGAGGAGGGGAGAAGCTGGTGGAGGAGGAGGAGGCCGGGAGAAGGAGAAGTCTGGTGGGAGAGGAGGAGGAGGGGAGAAGAGAGAAGCTGGTAGAGAAGGAGGAAAGAAGGGAGAACGCTGGTAGAGGAACGGAGGAGGGGAGAAATGCGGTGGTGGAGAAGAGGGGAGGCGGAGAAGCTGGTGGACGAAGGAGGAGGGGAGAAGCTGGTGAGAAGGAGGCGAGGGGAGAAAGGGAGAAGGCTGTGTGAGCGAGTGAGGAGGCAGAAGCATGTGCGAGGAGGGGGAGAAGGGAGAAGCTGGCTGAGAGGAGGAGGGTGAGAAGCCGGAGAAAGCTGGTAGATGCAAGGAGGAGGGGGAGAAGGGAGAAGCTGGTGGAGGAGGAGGAGGGGGGAAGAAGGGCAGAACGCTGGCTAAGAAGGAGGAGTGGGAGAACGTGGTGGGAGGAAGGAGGGGGAGAGCTGTGAGAAGGATGGAGGGGGAAAGGAGAAGCTGGTGGAAGGAAGAGGAAGGAGAAGCTGGGTGGAGGAGAGGAGGGGGAGAAGAGAGAAGCTGGTGAGTGGAGGGGGGGAGAAGCGACGAGAAGCTGGTAGAGAAGAAGGAAGGGGGGAGAAGGGAGAAGCTGGTGGAGGAGGAGGAGCGGGGAGAAGGGAGAAGCTGTCGAGAGGAGGAGGGGGAGAAGCTCTGGGAAAGGTGGAGAAGCGGAGGAGAAGGGGGAGCGCATGGTGGAGAAGCGGTGGAGTGAGGGGAGGCAGAAGCTGGGAGCAGAATAAAGCTGTGG